AGTAAATCTGGTCTTTTTTTTGTGAGTTAGAATTATGTTCTACATCCTTCTCCAGCTCTGTCCAGAACCCTCTGTTGTGATCCTGGTCAGAGCTGACTGGAGAATTTCTAATTTCATTCATATACTTGTGATGGTTAAAAAGAACAATCAGTCCAAAAGTCTGAGGGAATCAAGCTTTATGGGCCAAATAACTTTCCGAATACCAACAACTCTCAAAAATGGTACGAAAGTTTGAAGATATTCCTTAAATACAAACCTAAAATCAGACCATATCCTAGTTACTTTATATTATCAGTCAATAAAGAAATCACCAACTTCATTTTCCCTTTGACATTAAGCACAACAGCCAGACAGGTCTAATGCATTAAATCAAATGAGAAACTGTTATTTTCTCCTATCAGGAAATACCTATTCACAGATAAAAATCTACTGAAAGCTACATGTAAACATTTTAGTACTTTTGCTTTGAGGAAATAAGATTCAAATCATCTGCTTTAAAAATTGAGACGTGCAACAGGTACCTTTCTTTACTAACTAAATAATTTTTTGTGAGTGTTGGCTCTGTTTTTGGAGATCACAAGTGAGAGATATTCTCGAATCAGGGATCCAAGCACACCATCTCAGCTGAGAAGGACTAGGAAGACACTTTGGGTCAAGTGAAGGGAAGGGGAAAGATAGAAAGCTGAGAAAGGAACAAGAGCAGGCAACTCACAGAGAAGACTGGGAGGCAGGAGGAAAGGCAGTGAGGTGGGGAAAGCAAGCAGGGGAGAGCATGGGAGGACTTCTAGGAGCAGACCTCATGCTTCTGTAGCCCCTGAGCCAGAGGGGCTAGCAAGGTCCAGCTCCAAACACCCAGGATAGGGGCTTTGGTTCTGTTCTCGAAGTTTCAATCAATCCTCCCTTCCTCACCCCTGAAATCTGCATGTGTCATTTAGGTGGACTCCCTGAGTCTCCAGCTGACTGCTCTCTTTGCAATATCTGAAGATCTTTTTAAAGAAATTCTTCAAGTTGTTTTTTAGTCCACTTCATTTCCATTTATACCCAATTTGGCAAAACTCTCTGGTGTTCCCTGTTTTCCTCACCTGGAGCTGTCTTTGTTCTTTGAAAGATGCCTTTTCCTTCTCAAGCAACCTTTTCACCTTTCTGTGTTCCTGTTATTTGACTACATTTAATCTGGATATTTCAAAATGTGCTTCAGTAGTTCTCAAAATTCTTAAAACCATTGGTTTCTCAAGCCTAATTTCTTCAAGTTTATTTTTCTTGACAGCTGTGACATTTTCACTCCAGTTTCTACCTCTAAAATAGATCAATTGTTTGATTTTTAAAGTTTGCCTTCTCCCAGTAGGATGCTGAATTTCACTGTGTGGTGACTGCTATTAAATAACTGTTCACTCACAGATAAAAGGATCCCAATTAGTACAATACCATTCCCAACTAGTGGGCTTTTAGGGATATTATCTACAAAGATGTTTAAAGTAGTTTTACTACTGTCATTTTTAAAAATAACTCATGCAAAAAGGAAAATGAACAAACAACTATGGATTTTCCTTCAGTGTTCTCCTTGAGATTTCTGCTTACCTGGTAAAGATCATTTCTCATGTTGATGATGTCATCAGAAATCACACCTGCTGTGACTTCTAGCAGATCCCTCACAAGCTGAGCATGAAGGTGGATGATCGCTAAGTGTAAGACGCTAGAACAAAAATATAGCGGCAAAAATCAACTAAAGTATTAGTGGAAAAAAAATGATCCCCAGCTATGATCAGACTTGCAGGCTGAAGCTGGTCCTCATACTTAGTTTTAGGTGCTGTTTTGTTAGGTGCCGTCAAGTCGGCTGACTCATAGCGACCTTGTGTATAACAGAAGGAAACGCTGGCTCTAATAGATTTGAATCCCTGAAGTGTTTTGAATCCAAAGTGGGGTATGTGCTCTCCACAGGCTGCTACATTCATTGACAGTGTCTACCTGGCCTTTGGAAGCACTGTTTGACTCCTTGAGGCATAAAGGCACCCGGGCTTCAAGGTCAGGGAGACCCAAGCTCAAATCCCAGCTTCATGTTATGATTTCAGGGAGCTTTCTCCTCTTGCTTTTCTCTGACATTCCCTGGCCTGGCACCAGAAATTGTTCAGAAAAATTTAGTTCCCTCACCTAGCTCTGCTACTCTCCTAAAATACAAACGTGGTGGGTTTTTTCAGCTCTTCCTAGAGGAAAGAATGAAGTCAGGCTTTTAACTACTGGGCGAAATCTCAAACTTCTGAAGATGAATGTAACTATATTTCTCCCCTGCAAATATTCCCTCTGCCTGAAATTGTGTTGCTCCTCTTCTCTGTCTAGACTATGCCTACTCAAACCTTCATATTCCAGCTCGAACTTTACATCCTTGGAGAAGACTTCCCAGGCACAGGGAGATGTCCCCTTTCTTGGCTCCTGGGGTACTCTGTTAAGTTTCTAGACTGTGACTGTCTCTGGGGCAGATTCTATGTCTGAGTCAGCCTCCTTACAGTCTTTGCACACAGTTTAAGCACTAAAATAAGAGTGACGGTCTGAACCTAGTGGGCTTACACTAACGAGGCAAAAAATACTAGCAGGTGCTAAACATCATTCCTAGGAACATATATTTTTTAATTGTAAAAAAAATTTAATCTTAAAATTAATTGGAAACAACCCAACAATAACAATGTAAGAAAAGTGGCCACTATTTGTTGAGTGCTTCTATTTACCAGGTATTATGCTAAGCCTTCGGTATGGATTACACCTCAACATAAAGAAAACACAAATTCTCACAACTGGACCAATAAGCAACATCATGATAAACGGAGAAAAGATTGAAGTTGTCAAGGATTCCATTTTACTTGGATCCACAATCAACACCCACGGAAGCAGCAGTCAGGAAATCAAAGGATGCACTACATTGGGCAAATCTACTGCAAAAGACCTCTTCAAAGTGTTAAAAAGCAAAGATGTCACTTTGAGGACTAAGGTGTGCCCAATTCAAGTCATGGTATTTTCAATCACCTCATATGCATGCGAAAGCCGGACAATGAATAAGGAACATAGAAGAAGAACTGTTGCATTTGAAATATGTGTTGGTGAAGAATATTGAATATACCATGGACTGCGAGAAGAACAAACAAATCTGTCTTGGATGAAGTACAGCCAGAATGCTCTTCAGGAGTGAAGGTGGCGAGACTTCTCTCACCTACTTTGGACATGTTATCAGGAGGGACCAGTCCCTGGAGAAGGACATCATGTTTGGTAAAGCAGAGGGTCAGCGAAAAAGAGGAAGACTCTCAATGAGATGGGCTGACACCCTGGCTACAACAGTGGGCTCAAACATAGGAACAGTTGTGAGGATGGTGCAGGACTGGGCAATGTTTTGTTCTGTCGTACACAGGGCTGCTGTGAGTCAGAACCAACTTAACAGCACTTAACGTAACATAACATGCTAAGCACTTTATATACATTATCTTACTTATCGTAACAAGAATCCTATGAATCCTATGAGGTAGGTAATTTTACCCTCATTTTTATGATGATGAAACTGAGACTAATAAGTGAAAGATAACTGAATCAAGGTCACATAGCTAGTAAATGGTGAAGCTGGGATTCAAGCCCAGGTGTGTCTTACTCCAAAGCCAGCTCTTAATCTCTTTACTCTGCTTAAGGCACACACACACTGCTCTACCTAGCTGCAGATGAACATTTAAAAGGATGATTACTCCAAAACACATATCGATCGAGATGCTGAGCACATTCACATTATCCCATAGCCTCAGCACATCTTGGATTTAAGGCACTGGCTGGAATTTCTCTAATTTAAAGATATTAGGTGCCACTTTATTCAGGTCTTTTTCTTAGTAATAGCAAGTATATTTTATTTGAGATTAACATTGGCATAAGAGGGCCTAAAAAAAAAAAACTGTGCAATTCATTACTTGAGAATGATTCATTACCCGAAACGATTTCAGGGTTTCACTACTGTCTCTTGAAACGTGATGCTGGAAGAGGACATCTGAAATGTGCCTGCAGTCTATGCAGACATGAGGCACATACACCAAGAAAAATGTCGTCCTTCAAAAACTGCCAAAAAATTTCCATGTGCACCTCAGCATTTCATAGCAGAAGTTCGTTCCCCCTCCCCCATGAATCTTCACACCCTTGCAGGAATTCCCCCAATAACAGAAGTTTTATTTTTATTTTCTTATTGTATTTTCTGTGATGACTAATGGTCACAGGATGAAAAGTTCAGTGGAAACAAGAGGCCTGAGCTGTGATGGCCAAAAGCTGCCCCTTGTCTACACTCTTATGTGGACTCCCTTTTGGTCTCCCCAAATCCCACCTCTCTGCCCTCTAGCTTTGGCTAGCCCCCAGAACAGACTTGTGTGAGTGTGTCTGGGGTCCTACGAGGAGGCGCTTAGGATTCATTTTCTACGTGTACAAGGAAGAACCCTTCCTTGGCCTCTCCTATGCCCAGGATCCTTACCCTCGTGCACGTTTTCCCCTGTGGTACCCACCTGAATGCATGCACCTTGTTTTCCTTTCTGCAATCAAACACCAGCAACCACTTTCTAACTTGTATGTGCTCGTCTTTCTTTGATTTATCAATTCAGCAGGTCCCTGAAAATGTGACTTGTCCTGTCTTGGTTAACTGCTTTCTCTTGTGGCTACATGCTACTGAAAGCTAACTGGATTATTTAACCCTGGAAAAAACATTTTTCTGTTCATGGCATTACACAAAGAAGGCTGTGCCGGTTCCCCTCACACTGTATAACAAGGCCAGTGGTTACACCACATCCTTGGTTACGCTGCAAGGAATGAGAACAAAGGTCTCTGCTTGAAACCCTGAGGTTGGCACCTTCCTAAAGCGTTTTGGTTCAGTTTTTAAATTCAGGTTTAAAAAACAGCACTCAAGAGCTCTTCCACAGAAAAGGATTTCTCAGTCTTGACACTATTTTAGGAAAGTTTTAGATAAGGTGCTTGACTTGAATCTGAAGGCTGCTGCCTCTTGTTGTTTTTAACAGATGTTTGAGATCATTTTAGAAGTCTCAATGAAAGAACTGAGAAAATCACTTTAGAAAGAAGTCAAGTGGCTTCGCAAATATCTCAGTAACAGCAGGAATGGAAGGCGTGGTGTTTGGAATTTTAGACTCTCACACAACATGGGTTGGAGCAGTCATCAGAATCTGATCCAGTACAGACTAGTAACCGTTAACAGAGGCAGCAGAGAAGGAACTAGTAGCTGGGAAAGAATGACAATTACTACTTTTTTTTTTTTGAGTACACTGTATTACAAATCCACCACCGTCTGTCAGTATGACGTGCTGTCTGTGGTGGCTTGCATATTGTTTGGATGCTAGAAGCTATGCCACCAGTATTTCAAGCATCAGCAGTCACCCATGGTGGACAGGTTTCAGTGGAGCTTCCAGACTAAGACAGAATGGGAAGAAAAGCCTGGTGATCTACTCCCAAAAATTAACCAATGAAAACCTTATGAATCACCACAGAATATTGTCTGATATTGTGCTGGAAGATGAGTCCCTCAGGTTGGAAGGCACCACACTAACAGCTGCAACGATGTACTCAAACATACCAAAGATCATGAAGATGGCACAGGACCAGCAACATTTTGTTCTGTTATACATAATGTCGCCATGAGTCAGAGACAACTCTATGGCAACTAACAACAATAACATCATACTATGTAGTTGAGATTATAGTGCTTCTGGGATTTGATTAGGACTCTTCAAATACTGTTCCAATAAATAAAGCAAGGCTTGTCAAAAAAGTACTATTCCCTACACACATCTTACTTTTCTCGCCCAATGACACGTACTCTTAGATGAATACTCCCAGCCATTCTAGAGTCTAACAGGTGATAGCAGTAGTATAGAGAAGCCAACTATGCTACTTAACCTTACTGACATGTTATTTTTCAGTTACAGGAATTAATAACTTCAAACAACTCTTTTTATTGTGAGCAATGCTATGTATGCAATGCTTTTCTCTCTTCCTTAACTCAAAACAACCTTTGTCATGCACAAGTCCTGACTCACCTGTCCCCATTCTCATCCTGCACTGCAGTAAGATGGCGCTGGACAGCCAGCAGCATCTTCACATCTCCTGTTACCGCGTAGTCAAAAAGGGCATTAGCGTGCCGCTTGGCAAGCTGCATAGCCTTCTCTAGAAAGAGGTTATCTGCAAGGCAATGAGCGCAATCAGAGTTGAGTTTCCTATACCTCTCTACAGACACGGCATGCTTGAGGCAAAAATCATCAGTACCCCTGTTCTGACACCTCATATACATCATTTTAGTTGAAAATGCTCCTTTCAGTGATTCTGGATTGTGTCCACTACAAAAAGCTGGACATTGACTCACTCACAAATATGGTTACAGATTTATCTGAAAATGTCTGTCCACAGCTTGTTAGGGGAAAAAGAGTTCAGAAATGTCTGTTATTTTAAGCGTAAACAAGCAATTCTCAATTAACTGACTGGATTTTGCTGTAATTTTAGATAATCATCCTCTTGCTGAAATAAGTCTTTACTGAAGTAACTATCTCATTAAAAGTATCAAAAAAGTATCAAAGTGTCAAAAATCACAGTCTCAGCCCTCAACAGTCAGACAGACTTTCCATGAGCATTGGTGTTTTTGTAAAATTTGCTTCCTCAAGGTCAGCAGTTGGCAAATTATGGCTTGTGGGTCCACGGAACCCTGGTGGCGCAGTGGTTAAGAGCTATGGCTGCTAACCAAAAGGTTGGCAGTTTGAATCCACCAGCCACTCCTTGGAAACCCTATGGGGCAGTTCTACTCTGTCCTCTAAGGTCACTATGAGTTGGAATTGACTCGACGGCAATGATGTTTTTCGGGGGCCAAATCCGATAGGTGACATGTTTTTATATGACCCCCTACCTAATCATGGCTTGTACATTTGTAAAGGGGTGGGGCAAAAAAAGGAAAATGGATATGTGACACAGAGATCACAGTGGCTCTGAGTCTTAATATTTAATATCTTTTCCTTGACAGAAAAAGTCTTCTGAAGACAATCTAGGATGACCTAGAATCATGACACATAATAGGACTGGTTCAAAGTACACACAAAAGGACACTGTCCCACTTACTCTTCAAAGACTGTGATAGGAAAAAAAGAAAAGTTCATATTTTCTGGCAAAGTTCCACTTCAATATGACCATCAAGTTAGACTCTAGAGAAGGGTGACTACTTAAGTTATGGAAACTGTTCTCTATTATCAGTGCTAGATATAAAGTAGATTATCTCTCACAGTACCCAACAACTGCGCGATTATGATCGGAGAATGAGCATGTAAATTTCTGTACTTTATGTTCAAAGATAAAACTGGGAAAATGGAAAGCCCACTGCGACTAAAATGACCTGACACGTGCTCTTCAAAGGACGTACAAAAAAATCCTGGGATTCTTAAGAGCACATTGCACTAGGTATTGATATGCCATCTTTAGATTAACAGAAAATAAACCTGTCTTCGGGAAATAGCTTTCTACACCTAGAACGGACTACCCTCCCCATCCCCAGTGTAATCATTGTGTGATCACTTACCCTGAAACCTGCAATTCTCTTCCTTTACTCCTACTGTATACGTCAGAGTAACCTCTTCATGCTCACTGCTGGACTCCTTATCTTGCTCTGTGGTTTCAGTTACCTTCCCAGAAAGATTTATAGCATCTCTGTCATCACAACCTTTATGGTCTTTTTTAGATGGGGTGCCTATGTCTCCTAAGATAAATGCCAAAACATTAGCCTTTTTCTTGCAAAGTCTATTAACTAAATTATAATTCACAGTTTCAATGAAGGTCAGATAAAGGTAGGAGGCAAGTTTATTGCAAAGAGAGAAGAAAAAAATGATTTAAAATTCTTTTTTAAAATGGTCATATCATAGCTAATATGTTTTGGAGCTATTTTAAACTCTCACTTCTAAAAATTTAGGAAATAAAGCTCTTCTGTGAATTCCAGGAATTTTTTAAGTGAAAATTTTAAAGTTGTTGAAAGCAGAGCACTTTTTTTTTTCCTAATGCTAATTAACAAAGCAAGGTGAAAAGATGTGCTCTCAATTCACATTCCTTAGTGTGTGAAATATCCAGAGCACCATTTCTGATCATGATTGCCTGGGTCTGACCAGGTTGTCTCACAGGTATTATGAGTGCACTCATTATGGGCAGATCTGGTTCAAATCCTGGTTCTGTCACTTACAGCTATCTGTCTTCAGCAAGAAATTAACATTTTTTTCTAGACCTCATTGTCCTCTGACTGTAGAATATACTAATATTTTACTTACAAAGCAGTCGTGAAGATTACAATTAAACATGCAAATGTACCTGGCATAAAACAGACATTGCATAAATGGGAATATTTTATTGCATTATTTCTTCAATGGGTATACTAGAATGGACATGTAATATAAACTACGAACCCATGGTGTAAAAACTTCTACTAAAGGATGCACGTAGGGGGGTAAAGACCAATCCTATAAAACTCAAAATGATTTCAAAAACATATTATTTGAAAAAAAACAGGGAGAATAGACAGATCTGGTGATTTTTTTCATTCTTAAATAGTCCACTTAATGCTCATATAATCTCCCTGTTCATGACACTTACAAAGGAAATATAATCAAAGCATCTGAAATAGAGTTTATACCGTCCACAGGATATAACGCTGTTTTAGAAAAATATCTTCGTAGTTTATCTGCATTATTCAATTTTTTCAAAATGATAATGTTGTGACACGTAATGATTAAAAAAAAAATATTTTTCCCATGAATGAGAGTCAGCTCCACAGCAAGTAGTTTATACCACCCAGTGAGTGGTCAGGTGAACCGGACAATGGTTTCCTGATAGAAAGGGGGCAGTAGACCAATGGATAAAAAAACAAAAACAACAACAAAAAAACTTTCAAATTAATTTTTAAAATTATTTCTTCAGAATTAAAACCAAAACAAACAGTATTAATTACCATGCTTCATCCCAGCATTAGATTTAGTGGTTCCAGAATGGAAGGCGATTCCACCATATGTAGGAAATCCGTAGGGGGGGAAGCCATACCCTGAAATGGCAAATGAGACATCAAGATGATTTCTAAGAGACTCAGCAAACCTTAGTCCTTCCCTTGTGAAAGCATGGACTTGGGTATGGGAGGACTCTGTGTCTGCACTCAGTGCTTCTGTTGAGTTCGTAAGACACATCATTGGGTTCCTGAGCAATGGACATTCTACATTGGCAAAATTTACATGTAGGCAACCAGGAAGTGCCCCAAGCTTGGGGCACCATGAAGCAGTTTAAGCCTGAGAAAACCTCTCACTCCTGTGCTAAGAGGATAAGTTAAAGGTGAGTGGTCACACCCAAATTCAGACTTGCTACATAGGAGACATTATAATGACTTTTGGGGGAAAAAACCAAACCAAACAAAACACAGAAATACAAACAAACAAAACAAAAAACACAGAAAAATCTTCTAAATGAAAAAATGGTCACCGCTCTCCATTTTCATGCATTTTTGGTAGGAGTATAAACTCGTAAAACTCTTAGGGGAGGCAGCTGACAGCAGACATCATACCCTTTGACAAAATAATTTTACCTCAAAGAACTCAATTTACAAAAATAATTTGAAATAAAAGAAAAGCTACGTGGATAGAGCAATTCAGTAGAACATTTTATACAAAAAACAAGAAATAACAGTCATGTAAGTTATACTGAAGTTTGTTGACTTGATGGAATATTGTGAGTCATTAAAAATGATAGTTATATAAGGTTTATACTACCTAGGGGAGAGGCATTTGTTAATGTACTAGGTAAAAGCAGCATATACAGCTCTATACACAATCACGGTATAATGGTAATAAACAACTAAGACAAAGAAATAGATTAAAATACTACACACAATGATGATCACAGTTGTACTTGGGAAAATGCATAAAAATTATAATCTGTACATAGAAAACAACGGAAGTGGTTAACCTTAGGCGGTGGGATTTTATGTATTTTCAAATTTCTACAATATAGTATATATAATCAGATCTTCTCAATGTTTTCAAAAAACACCAAGACAACTATGTAAAAACAAAAAAACAAAAACAAAAAAAAATCCTCAAAACAACCCACCAAAACCAAAGACCAAAAACAAAGTAAAAGAGATAGCTAGCCTCTGGTGACTTTTTCTTCTTCTTCTTTTTCATATTATCTATATATTGTAAAATAACTATGCATTTCTTTGAAAATAAAAAAAAATTTATTTGTTGGGAACTTTTAATTAATTTACTCTGTCATATTCAATAATGCCACAGTCACTCAGCCCAAAGACATGCTCATAAACCTAGGAAAAGAAAATTCTACCCTCTCCAATATGAAAAAGCTTTAGAAAGCGTAGATTTTATTCTTACCTGGGCCTGTACTTCCAGTACCCCCTCCTCCACCGCCACTACCGAACATGCCTCCGCCTCCAGCTCCAGCACCACTACCACCACCGAAACTATCCGAAAAATTGGGCATGAGCTTCTGCCGTTTCCTCTGCACTTCCTCTTTATCTGTATTTAAAGAAAGGCAGGCCAAAAAGGAAGAGAAACCAGAGGAGAGAAGATTGATTCGGCTCTGCTACTAGCCACAGAACGAATATTGATTCTGATGGTATTATTTTAAACACTTAAGGAGGAAGAGGTGCCAAATTTCAAGAAGTTTTATATTTATTCCTATGGGTAACTAGATTGAGAACCAGCCTCAGAGATACCACAGAACAGAACACACCCAAATCTTCTCCACAACAGTTAAGTTCCCAATGTTGCTAAAATTAGTGGAAGACTAATTAAAGAGTAGATAGTGAATAAGAAAACACCACTGGGCATTTTTGAGTTGAAATCAATTCTACGGCAACAAATACTGGGCATTTTTACTTGGTCACAGAAATCAACTATGATTAATCAGCTAACATTTATTGTGCATCTATTACGAGCTAGGAGTTCTTGGGTGGTGAAATGGTTAACAAAACACTCAGCTGCCAACTGAAAGGTTGGAGGTTCAAGTCTATCCAGAGGGGCCATGGAAGAAAAGCCTGGCAATCTACTTCTTAGAAATCAGCCCTTGAAAACCCTTTGGAGCACAGTTCTACTCAGACACACCTGGGATCACCATGAGTCAGAAATCGACTTGACTGGAACTGGTCAATTATGAGCTAAGTGCTGGGGATAAAGAGAAGCATGACATAATGTTTTTGCTGTCAAGGGTTCTCTGATATAATTTTAAGGTTGTAGGGGAAAGACTTAGAGAGAGAGAGAGCACTATAAGGCTTAAAAACTCGTTGCCGTCCAGTTGATTCTGACTCACAGTGACCCTACAGGACAGGGTAGAACTGCCCCACAGGGTTTCCAAGAAGCTGATGGTGGATTCGAACTGCTGACCTTCTGGTTAGCAGCCAAGGTCTTAACCACTGTGCAACCAGGCTATATATGTTAAGTTCATGGTGCAGAATAATGTTCTAGGAGTTCAGGGAAGGATTTCTAGGAGGTCCGGGTGGGCTGGGAAATTCAAGAAAGGCTTCCAAGAGGAGGCTTCCCAGGATCAACTTTATATATGCAGGGGAAAAGGGAGGGTGTTCTGGGAAAGGGATACAGAAGTAATGAAGGAAAGAATGTGCATGGAGTGCTTAAAAGAACAGTAGCAGATCAATTCAGCTGAAGTGAAAGCTTAGTATAAGGAATTTTTGAGAAATAGATTGATTGGGGCCACACTGTGGAGTGCCTGGAATATGAAGTGAAGAGATTTAACTTACAGGCAGGAGAGCCACTGAATGTTTCTGAAGGGAACGATGTGTACAGAATGGTACTTTAGGACAGTTCCTCTGTCACTCATGAATGCTGTCGTTGTTAGTCGCCATCCAGTGGACTCTTACTCATGGCGACCCCATGTGTTACACAGTACAACTGTACTCCACAGGGCTTTCCTGGCTATAATCTTAATGGAACCAGATCACCAGGCCTTTCTTCTGTGGTACCCCTGGATGGGTCTGAACCACCAACCTTTAGGTTCGAAGTTGAGTGCAAACAATTTGCACCACCCAAGGACCTTCCATTGGTGCAAAGGAGATACCAAAGAAGGATCACAGTGAAAGGCAGAGACGGCGCAGACATAACGTGACGGGGCCTGTTCCTTAGTCACCATGATAATAAGTGAATCCCAGAAACAAAATGAAAGAGGAATCTGTAGGCTTTCATGTCTGACGAGATGTGGGAAGCTGGAAGTCTAAGACTGCTACTTGAGTAAAATACAGTGATACGGTGTGAGACTTTTGACTGTCCAGGTCTAGATGCTATTTATATTCTTCTCCCATTCCTCATGTGATTGCTGTTTTTGTATTGCTGTCATTTCTCTTCACTTCTCACCATCTCTGCTTCTCACCAGCCTCATTATCCCTTCTTACTTCTGTCACTGCCTCTGGGCTTTATTATTGTGTTCTTGTTTCTTCTTTCTTCTTCCCTTTCTTTCTCTACTCTAATCTTCCTATCATATTTCTTCCTTCTCCCTTCAGGGCTAAAGAAGTGAAAGTGCTTTTTTTTCTTTTTTTTTTTTTTTAAATAGCCAATGTGGTGTTATTTTTTTCAGCCGGTAGCCCAATACTGAAAAATTGTCCTGTTTTTTTCTTTTTTTTTAATTGTCTTTTAGGTGAAAGTTTACAGAGCAAATTAGTTTCTCATTAAACAATTAATACACAAATTGTTTTGTGACACTGGTTGCCAACCCCACAACATGTCACCACTCTTCCTTTCTCAACAACTGTCCTGTTTCTGATTCCTCAATGTCAGTTTTTGTCACTGTTTATGTTCAGAGATATCTTCCTTATTTCTAATTCTGTGGTTGTTTCAGCCACCTAAGGGTTAGATAGAAGGTTGTTACCCTGTTGTTTACTGATTATCTCATGATCATCTAAACGCAGCTGAAAGATGAACTGGGTAAAGTAGGGTAATGAATTGCACTTAAAAAATGATTGTTTAAAAACTGATCATATCCTGACTTGTTAGGAAGAAAAAAAGCCAAAGTGGGTCAACATTGCAAAAAATGTGCTTCCATTAGAAATGAGTGGTCTTGAAATGGAGAAATGTCAACAAAGATTTTTTAATAGATTTATAAAATTTCACCATCATCTGTACTATAAGTAGCTAATAGCTGAACTATACTCATTCTATTAATTGTTGACCTCACATAGAATATTAGTTCATTGTAGAAATATGAAACACACATGAGGGAAGCAGACAACTTATTCATCTTCAGAAATAAACTGATGTGGTTTCTAGCAAAGAGTCCACTTGGTATTTTCTATGTACTCATTTGGCTTTATAAGGCATAGATATACACTGGTTATATTTTACTGTGAAATGGCAATTTTTAATAGTCAATTTTCAAAATATTAACTATCCTACAGCCAGTCAGATTTCAGTGACAAGAAACTGATACAGAAAATTCCACAGAGCAAACTTTATAAAAGAACCTGCAGTCTGAATCTCCATGGAATTGAACATGTAGATTTTTACACGGGGTTCATTTATCTTTGTGGTCTGCCTCTGACAGCGTCACTCTCAGATGTACTGTGGAACATCCACCTATTCTAGAAGGGGTCTAAGTGGTCATTCACTGTAAGCCATCCTCTTACAGAAGAGGAAAACTAATGCCAGGATGCTTAAGTGACTTGTTTCAGATCAGGGTAGAGTGAAGGTAAGACCCAAAGTCAAGAAGTATTTCCATTATATGGGTTGCCATTTTTGAGAAACTTTCCAAAATATCTTTGTTTCCTCTAATAATTGGTGACTTTAGACAATGGTTTAATCCATGAATGCAGATAAACTTTTCGCCTCTACTACCGCTTGCTGTGAATGTGCCTTAAAAGTATCTCATTCTTACTTTTCAGGTTCTAGTTTACCAGTAAAGATCTGTTTTTCTTGATCTTACCTTTCATTATTTAAAGAGTATGATTCTGTTTCTAATCTCCATCTTTTCAGACTGAAAACTCATTATGGTTTTTCTTTGCCATAGCTAACTTCCCATACAGCAGTTCAGCAGTTCCTTAACTATATTCTTCCCTTGCCAATCACTCTTCTCTTGATTATTTTAACTGTTACTCCTGGACCCAACCATCCCTATGCAGTATAATGGCAATGATCATAGAGGACACAGAGATCGGGGCTGGATGACTCTGTACAGTGAGAGGAGAATGTTTTATTTCTATGTCTAATTTCCTACCTGATGGCACCCAACTTATTATCAGCCTTGCAGATGATGACAATTTGGTTGGTCGATTAGTAAGTCATTCCACAAACATTTAACAAGCATCTTCTATGGCCTGCCATATACTCTTCTAGATGCTGGGGACATAGCAATGAACAACGAAGATCAAAATCTGTGCCCTAAAGGAGATTGTTTTTTCCACTAGGGTTAGCAAGCAACAGACAACAGACACATATAATTGTCTTCTTTTTACACACTGATAAAAAATAATGAAATATATAAAATTAGGCAATAAGACAGTGACTGCAGGGGCTGGAAGAGCAGTGAAAGGTGTGTTCCACTGTTAGGAAGTTACACTTACATTTCCCACAGGTGTCTAAAATGCAGCACGTTTTAAATTGAGCTGCATCTTTCTCACCCGCATCTTCTCTTGCTCCCTTGTTACTTTCATCAGTCAACCTCATCACAAGCTTCCTAGCCAGAAATACTAGAACTGTCTATGATTCCTGAATTTCTCCTTTACTTCCTATCTCAACCAGCACCCAAGTCCTCTTTTTTTTTTAATTTTACTTTTGTGTGTGTGTGTGTGTGTGTGTGTGTGTGTGTGTGTGTGTGTGTGTTTCAGGTGAACGTTTACAGTGCAAATTAGTTTCTCATTCAAAAATTTATACACAATTAGTTTTTTGACATTGGTTGCAATCCGAGCAATATGTCAGCACTTTCTCCCTTTCCCTTTACACCCTGGGTTCTCTGTGTCCATTCGTCCAGGTTTCCCATCCCTTCCTGCCTCCTCGTCTTTGGTTTTGGGAAGGTGTTGCCCATTAGGTCTCCTATACTTGATTGAACTAAGAAGCATATTCCTCACGTGTGTATTGTTTGTTTTATAGGCCTGTCTAATCTTTGACCTAAAGGTAGACTTTGGGAGTGGCTTCAGTTCTGAGTTAGCAGGGTGCCTGGCGGCCACAGTCTCAGGGTTCCTCCAGTCTCTGTCAGACTAGCAAGTCTGGTCTTTTCTTGTGAACCTGAATTTTGTTCTACATTTTTTTCCCACTCTGTCTGGAACCCTCTATTGTGATCCCTGTCAGAGCAGTAGGTGGTGGTAGCTGGGCACCATCTAGTTCTTCTGGGCTCAGGCTAGTGGAGGCTGTGGTTCATGTGGTCCATTAGTTCTTTGGACTGATATTCTCCTAGTGTCTTTGGTTTTCTTCATTCTCTTTTGCTCTGAATGTGATGGAACCAACAGATGTATTTTAGATGGCTGATCACAAGCTTTTAAGACCCCAGATGCTACTCACCAAAGTAGGATGTAGAATGTTTTCTTTATAAACTGTTTATAACAATTGACCTAGATACCACACAAGTCCTCTGGACACCATCATTGAACTGTGTCTTGAATCCACCTCTTCCTATCATTCCTAGGACCAGTACCTTTACTAATTTCATCGCTTCTCACTTGGATTCGTGCAGTACTCTTAGGAATCATTGTCTGTCTCCCAGATAACCTTCTCAGTGTCAATGTAAGGAAGTCAAAGCCATCTTTCCAAATATACACAGACCTGGCCATTCCCCTCTCTAGAATCAATGCAAATTCCCTAGCTGGCACTCACAGCACTCCACACTCTGGCCCTGGCCTACCTTACCTGCCTCAGCCTTCACTAGTCCATCTTAGTGTTCGTAATGCTCACTTTCTCTGAATAAACACTAATTTTTCTTACCTCTTGTCATTTAGCTCCTCAAGTTTCCTAAGCCTATAAAACTATTTCCTTCTCTGTTAAACACTAAACTGCTGAAACATATCTAAAACCTTAAGGACCAAATGCCATCCTCTCTAAGCAGCCTTCTTCCTCCAGTCTTGTATACATCCAATGGTTCTCTCCTCAGCATCCCCATGTGGGTTTGTAGATGCTTCACTTTTGGTATTTCTGAAAATCATTTTGCATGATAACCACTTCAGGAGGTTACTGTCTTTCCTTGTAGATAAGTTCTTTGTGAAGAAAAGGCAGTGTCTTATTAATTTTTATAGTTCTGCAGTGGCTGAGTTTTGTTTAACTGCCTGATTCTTTTAAACACCAAGGCTTATCTTTTGATCTCAACTGCCTGAATTTCGAGTTAATAAATGTTAAATTCTCAAATATGTGCCAGCACTCTAAATCTTGTAAAAGCTTGGTGGAAATATGGAAACAAGATGATATAAAAAGGCTGGATTTAATTCAGTGACCCTGAAATACTATATTATTTGTCTTTTCTCTGAAAATAAATACCACGGACCCAGTATGCAATTACTCAGAGTCTGTTCAAAGGAAGTGGCTAACTAATCTTTTCTAATCAACCTGTCTTTTTATGGGAACAAGCACAAAAGTCTAAACAACTGAATTACCTTTGATTTCAGGGTAGTAGAGAAAAGGTTTTGGTTCACTAGTTTCCAAATCAGATTTCCTTCGAAGCTGGACGAACACAGAGGCTGGTTTTGTAATGTTGATATCTTTATACTTTGGGGTTTTGAAGACAATGGCAAACTGCAGAATAAAAAGATCCAAAGGTTGGTGAAGGACTACATATTATTATTGTTATTATTTTTTGCAGAAATCTACTAATAAAACAGTTTCCTTATGTTTCTCTTTATGTCCAACATTTTAAATACAGTATACGAAAATACAATTCCAAGAGAAAGCCCCAAACTCAGAACTATACACCCAGATGCTTTTAATAAACCGTCACTGTAAACTGAAATACAAGACGTCAATGTACTTCAAATCTTTATTATTTCACTTGTCTAATACTTCAAACATCTTCTATTTGTAAATATTATGCAAATAAAATACATTTCATATACTTCTTTCTCCTCTTCCAAATTAACCTTAAAAGTCTCCAAGACTATTTACAGCAGCATCAGAAACAGTGATTGTGGGGACAGAGATGAGGCAAGTGATACCATGATCAGCCGGCAGGCCAGCCAATGAGGAGAGAAAACTAAACCCCGATTAGGGAGGCATCATCACAGAGTCAGGGATATTTTGCCATGAGGATGGTCAAGGCTCTAGGCAATGCAGGCAGTTCTGTAACACACTTCTAAGACACACTTCTGGCCTCTTCACTAATCTCTTGGTGGTGACAGAAAGTTATTTTTAGTTTGATTTTTTGAATACGTAATATATTCACAGGGATTGAGATTTTGTAAAATATATAAAGATAGACAATGGAATACACTGAAAATTCTCCTTGCCACCCCTGACCCCATCCACTCAATTCCCACTGGGTACTTCCATAGGTAAACACTTCTATTAATCTGTTACGTATCCTTCCAGAGTTTCTTTGCTATTGTTCGGTGCTGTCGAATCGATTTTGTCTCACAGTGACCCTGTGTAACAGAGCAGAGCTGCCTCACGGGGTTTTCTAGACTGCAATCTTTACAGAAGGAGTCCTGGTGGTGTAGTGGTTAAAGCGCTCAGCTGCTAACTGAAAGGTCATCGGTCTGAACCCACCAGCTGCTCTGAAGGAGAAAGATGTGGCAGGCTTCTTCTGTAAAGATTTACAGCCTCAGAAACCCTATGGGGGCAGCTCTACTCTGTCCTATAGGGTTGCTATGAGTCAGAATGGACTAGACAGCAGTGGGTTTTGGCTGGACTCTTTACAGGAGTAGATCACTGGGTCTCTGTTCCATGAAGTCACTGGTGCGTTTGAACGACCAGCCTTGCAGTTAAGCAGCTGAGCACTTAGCCACTGTTACACCAGGGCTCCTTAGCGTTTCTTCAGGCATATGCAATATGAACACAGAGAACCCAGAATCATTTTTCACATTCACTGTTATGCACTTAAGGAGCCCTTGTGGCACAGTGGTTAATGCACTTGGCTGCTAACCCAACTGTCAGCAGTTCGAACCCACCAGCTGCTCCATGGGAGAAAGATGTGGAAGTCTACTTCTGTAAAGATTTACAGCCTTGGAAACCCTATGGGGCAGTTCTACTCTGTCCTATAGGGTTGCTATGAGTTGGAATCAACTCGACAGCAGTGGGTTTGGTTATGCACTTAGCTTTTTTTCTCATTTTAACATTGTATTTTGAGATATTTCCATATTCACAGAATATTCACTATTTTGTTAACTGTATAACAGTCCATTACATCGATACATCATAATTTATTTAATTGGTTACTTATTGATGGATATTTAGATTTTCTAATTTTTTGTGCAATTTTAAATTTTTTCTGTGATAATAATATTCCTCAATCATCCTTAAAAAGGAATCAGAGTAATCATTAAGCTGGGGATCCAACATTTTCATATCTTCTTCATTAATTCTCAGTTATAACTGGGAAGTCTTGATTTATCAGGATGCCATTAGCCTCAACTAGAAGATTCCACTTCTCCACACTTTTCATTAGAATACCCTTCTAACAGGTTGTTGTTGTTGTTAGGTGCTGTCACCATAATTATGTTAGCAGAACACTTAAAACATTTTCAGTAGAGGACCTGAGGGCCACTGTATTACGGGTTAGAGGATCAGATACCCAAATGAAATTTCTTGCTTAAGTCTCAGAGCCAATGTTAACAGAGCCTTGCCCATATTCTATGACAGATAATGACTTTTCTGGAAGATGTACAAGAGTTTTAAAAAGTACTTTTTCCTGAAAGTTAAATTTATTTATAATTTTTCTTACTTCATATATGGAAACTAATGAGTTTCAACAAGGCAGAAAATATAAAATCAACATCATCACCATTATCCACTTACCTGCCTATGAACATCTGTGGGTGAAAAATCTCCAAATCCTTCCCAGACTCCACCATTTTCCTCCTCTTCATAAAATCGAATCTGTATGTCATCTGCAAATAGTCCAATTCAAATATGTACTTTTACGTAGTGTAATAATATTTATAAACATGCTGAAAAATAAAACTGGTTCAAGATTCTACCTACTATTTACTTAATTTCTTTTAAAAAATAAAATAGTCTTCCAAATCACTGAAAATTTTCATAAATCACAAATCTTTAAAATTGTTACCACAGTAATAGGCTCCAAGTTTCATTTACAAGGGTAGAATACAAGATTTACCTATTCAATCTGAGTTTTCTCTTAATCAGTCTCTGACTTTCTCACTTTTCCATCCCTAAGTCAATTCACTCCTGAGAAACATGAAGGATGGTGAGGAATATTAGTATCTCAGAAGGTAGCTCAACTCAAGAGAAACTTAAAAAATAATAGTTAACGCATATGTTTACTGAAGCACTGTTCTAAGTGCTTTATATGTATGTATTAACTGACTTAATCCTCACAACAACTCTTTAGGAAGTAGATTTACTATTATTATCTTTATTTTATAGAAAAGGATACTGAGATTCATAGATACCAAAGTACCTTATCCAAGGTTGAACAGCTAGTAAATGGAGGAGATGGGATTTGAACCCAGACAGTATAGTTCTAGGGTCCAGGCTCTAAATACGTTATTAGTCCACACTGAGTAATTGTTCAAAATATTATGATGGTCAGAGTAGACTGGAATGCCAAAATTTCACTCTTTTGTCATATTTCTGCAGAAATATGACAATATAACTCAGGTTAGCGTTTCCCTGGCTTCACTTCCCATTCGTAAGAAGGATCACACCATTGACTTATAAAAACCGAGTTTCTGTTTAAACAGAATTTTAGAAATATTAGGGTTGGATTAAACACTCCATTATCTCACGGCACATTCTTTTGGACTACCCTGGACCTAGTTATTTAGAATTCTTTAGGCCAAGTACAAGACTTCTCTTACTAAGCCATATCAATGTAATGATGATGACTGAGAATCACATTTGCAAATAAAGGCACTCAGATTGTTTGCTAATAGTATGCACACCCATACTTATCTGGAAATAAATATTATTTGGATGGAATAGGTTAAAAGGCTTATAACAGTGTATGCAAAGTTTTGGGGATAAAGACTATATGCTTTACTTTAAAATCTGATCCCATATTTTCTGGCCTTATACTTTGGAACACTTAGTTTTAAATGAGAATATATTTCTTTAAAGCTATTATTCTTTTATTTATGGACTATATTTCAAATTATGAATCTGCTTACTTTGAAAATGCTTACCTTGTAATGAATAGATCTTTATTATACTATACTTTCCACCTACCATTTTATGTTAAAAATGAGCGAAGTTTGAGAAAATAACATATAATCTCCTTCTACTTTTGCTAATTTATCAATCTTAGTGTATTTCATTCCTACTGTTGACATCATAGTGTCATGTGGAAGTGTCTGGAGAAGCTCTCTCAGTATTACAACGAAGAATTGTAAAATAAACAGGTTACTATTTATCCTGTGTGTGTGCACGTGTGTCAAGCATTGGCCATTCCTCATTTTAGTTTAACCAAGCTCAGATACCAAAGTTTATAATACAAAAATAATGAAACTTCACCAATTTCAGTTATTACTATTTTCTTATTTCTCTTTACTTCTGTCGAAAACCTTAAAATAAATTAGTTGAGTTTAACAAAAACAACACAGGCAACTTAAATGTGGAAGAGGTGAACTGTGTATACGTTTTAAAGGAGTTCTACAGCATTGCCAAAAAGGGACTCGAGACACACTCAGAATCATGTTTCACATCTTGAGACCAGAGAATGTATTTACCTTTCTGAACCTTGTCACAGAGAAGATAAATCTCTTCCCCTCCAGTTACACATCCGGCTGTCCTGTCCATTCTTACAATTTTCAAATTGGACGCATTGGGGGCTTCTGGTCACAGAAGAACAACAACAATGTCACGGATTATCCTCAGCTTTACAAGCCAATTCCTTATCAGAGACCATGTCCTTAGCACACATTACCAAAAGGAAGTTTAAACAGATGCCTTCACCTCCTCCTATTTTAACAGGGATCCTTATAAAATAAGATGGCTTTCCAAAGACCTCAGAGCACTTCTTGGGTAGGGGTCATTCATTATCATCAAAATATGATGAGACAGAAAGGAGCAGGTATTTGTTTCTCCTTCTAACACAGCAAGAGGGGTTAACAGAGAAAGAGAAAGAGCTTTTCTGATGTTTCAGGAGGTACCAAGCCAATGGATTTCCGGAATTTCAATTTGGTGAAGAACCCAAATTTATTTCCATGATACTGCCATACCATTTACAAGAGTCCTAAAAATATCTAGGAAAAGCCCAATCTTGTTAAACTACTTATTAATTTTTATTCTAAAGAAACAAAAAATGGAGATGTTACATTTCTTTTCCCCAAACTAAATTAGGATTCTGTGTGGTTAGGGGGCAAAAGTTTCAGTGTGGTAAAGTATAAAGCTTCCTTTTTTTTTGCTCCAACAGCTGCATTTTAAGATGATGGAGTCTTTGGTATGTGAGTCTATATAATTTTGTAACTCTTTCACTTCCCCTCCAACTTGTTTAAATTAGAGAAATCAGTTGTAGTACTTGGAGTCTTCTACTTACATTAAATTCCATAAACTTTCAATGAGCCTAAATACTGTGCTTGTAGACTTTTTGGAAATATCTGTTTAATAAATCCCATGCATACCAAACAAGTAAGTTGCATGGCAAATACTGTAAATCCCTGCAAACCTCTTTAAAATGGTTTCAGGAACCAGAGATTGAAATAGCATTTTGGAGCGACATACTATGTCTACTACTCATGCAGTTCACTTGAAGTTCCTATCTTCATAAAGCTACTAGTATCTGGAATGAAGATAGTTAAGAGTAACAGTTCTCTAACTTCTGTTCAGAGCCTCAAAGAAAAAAATTAAGACTTTTCTCCTTTCAAGAGCAAGAACAATATATTCTCATAGCATAAAGAGGAAGAGATTTGGTAGTGCATATAGAAGATTTCAATGTACACTGGAGGAAGGGGGATTACATCTATTGAGCCCCAAATAAAATATATCATTTAATCTAGATAGCAACCTTTTAAGTTAGATTTTGTTTTCCCATTTTATAGATGAGAAACCTGAGGCGCAAGGAGATTAAGTCGGTTGCCCCAGGACTCAGAGCTAGTAAGTAAATAGCAAGGCATGGTTGGAAGCCCGTGTTCTTTACATTATACCAATCTGCCTCCCATTAGAAGTTAAGCACTCACTGCTGTCATAGATGGCATCTGAGACCACGGGCTCCAAACGCCTTGTGAAGCTGCCCGTGCTGTCTGGAAGAAAAGCTGTAAACATGAGCCGCACCACGCTGAGGTCCATCTCTTTGGTCTGATGAAGAGCGGCCTGGCGGATTATCTCCTTTTCCCGATCTAATAAAAGTCCATTCACACCCAAGGGAAATGTGAAAACGGGTGAACACTTTAAAACAGGATGCTTTTATAAAGTCCAAATAAAGAACATAAACTTAAAATAAAAACCTGTATCTTTCATTCAAAGTTTTCTATATTGCTAGTAAAATATAAAAAAAATCTCTTTTATGCTATCTAAAATGAAAGGTATCAAAAGAAGGTGTGCATCTTCTCTGGTTTAGGGTGAAAACTGTCCTCCATGTATCTAACGGTCTCTTTCCTCTCCTGTTATCCCCCTACTGCCACCACCACCAGTTACTGTTGAGCTGATTCTGACTCATGGTGACTTCATGTGTATTGTGTCAGAGTAGAACTGTGCCCCATAAGGTTTTCAATGGCTAATTTTTCAGAAGTAGATTGCCAGGCCTCTCTTGCGAGGTGTTACCCTCTCCCTTTGATTCCTATAATAAGAGTTAAAGGCACAAAGGATGTGATGGAATGCAAAGCAATAAGCCTACTATGCACCAGTTGTACTGAGAAATGTAAAAATTATTCTAAAAATTAATTAATTCTAAAATTATTGTAAAAAATAATTACTGTATTGTTGAGCATAGGGACTGTGTTCGGAGCCCTGGTGGCGTAGTGGTTAAAGAGCTCAGCTGCTAACCAAAAGGTCAACAGTTAGAATCCACTAGCCACTCCTTGGAAACCCTATGGTAGTTCTTCTCTGTCCTACAGGGTCGCTGTGAGTCAGAATTGAATCAATGGCAATGGTCAGTTGGTTGGGACTATGGTCACTCCACAGTGCCTAGTACAGTGCGTGGGAGAAGGCATAACAGAGGAGGTGTTCTGTGACTGAAGTCGCAAATGATGAACCAGGTTTTGACAGGTTGAAAAGGGAAGGGAGAAAGACACACGCAGTGGCAGCTATGCACCAGGTGTTCAGAGAGCAGAGATGGGGAACGTTGGCTGCAGGCTGGGACTGGAGATGAGGCTGGAAAGGTGACTGGGGCCAGATTGTGAAGGCTATGGGATTATAGATTTTATTCTACAGGTAACAGGATATCATCAAAGGTTTCTGAGAAGGAAAAGGGTGGATACAGATGAGAAGAAGGAGAAACCAGAGGCAAAGAGACGAACACTTAGTCCACAAACCACACATGAGAAAATGAAATCCTAAGCTCCTCAATGGAGCAAGACTAGGAAAATGAGGCTCACCTGTGAGTTGCCTGTCTCCTCCACCTTCTGCTTGCAAATAGGCAAGGTCAGGATGCACTAAAAGTCCAGGGTTATAGCCTCTTATACATGCCTCTGTCATTCGTGCTTCCAGTGTCTCAAATACTTTTTTCTTTGTCACATGAAGTATACCCAGGTTTGCAAAGCTGGAGAAAGAACAGCAACAACCACCACCAAAAGTTAGGAAGCTGATGACTCGAGAATCTCACTTCATGTTAGTAAAGTGCACTTTAAAAAGATACATAGGTCCTCAATCTCTTATCCAAATCCTTTGGGGCTAGCTACATGCATTTCAGAATTCAGAACTTTTTTGATATTAGAAAGGCATTAAAGGACATCAAGTGCACATCACATAATACTCTCCGCAGGTCTGGGGCACACACTATCATCAAACATACTCATATTTCTGCAGTGAAACATACAACTAGACTCACCAAATGAAATATAACGACTATATACAGTCTCATATCAGGTCAAATTGGGTTTTGCTACCAAATGAGTTTGTGGTCAACTTAGAAAATCATTTGGTTTTCAGAGCTCATTAGATTTCAAAATTGTGATTAAGGGACTGTGAGCATATATGTATATATATCTTAATAAAGAAGTTCTACCTGAACGCATTTTTAAGTATTTTCTATGGGAGTTGTATAAGATCAGTTTTTAATTACAAATACTAACAAATGTATATATATGAGTAAGAGGAATATTATATTTGGAAGGATTTTTTGCTTTTTGGATCATTCTTGGGTATGTGGATGTGATTTAAAAGTTTACCTGGAATCCCATCTCTGCTTGGGTTATCTATAAGATTGAAATTATTTATTATATTGGAATCATCACTTAATTCAGTGTGCACTCAGGACTGAGGGTATACACATAATCAGGGATGAAGAACCTTTTATCTAGAGAAGGCTCAGATCAAAGAACAAAATACAGAACAAAATTAACTGAATAAATAAAGCCATCGAAGGGATTTTTAAGAAAAATAAAATGCTCCAGCCATTCATTTTTTTAAATAAGGTACATGAAACAAAGAAGTATATTCAATAAATGTAATACAACAATCAAAACAGCATTTTACCAAGGAGACTCATTCATTCAACAAATATTCGTTTAGCTCTTACTAGTGCCAGGCAGTATCCTAGGTGCTTTTGTCAGCAGTCAAATAATCTCTACCTTCATTGACTTTATATACTAGTACAACAACAGAGAAGAAACAAACAAAACATCAAATTATATAGCATAAATTAGAAAGTAATAAATGTTATCAAGAAAAAGACGGGAAGAATGGGACATAGAAGACGCAGTGGGTAAATGCAATGCACTTTATAATATGCAGTGGTCAGGAAGAGCCACATTGAAAAATGACAACTCAAAGAAGACCTGAAGGAAGTGAGAGGGAAGACATGGTTTTATGAAGGAAAAGCATTCAAAGCAGAAGGAACAGCAAGTGCAAAGATCCCAAGGTAGGATCCTGCCTGCTATTTTCAAGAGACAACAAAGGCAAAGAGGCCAATGTAGCTAAAGTGAAATGAACAAGGGGGTCAGTAGTAAGTGAAGAGATCCAAGAGGTAAGTGGGGGCTCAGATCTTTTAAAGTGTTGCTTATTTAACTCTGGCTTTTACTCAGGATGAAAACAAAAAGAGATTAACAGAGGAAACAAAGAATGTTATGACAGAACTGGGCCGACTGCAACAAAGAACACGATAATGTGAGAAGGTGAGATAAACTAGCGAAAGAAAATACAAGAGGTGAAGGCAGAATGACATAAGCACTCACACAGAGGCCCAGGGAAAGAATGAGATATATACCCAGAGAGAGATAGAAAAAAGTGGAACAGCCAAGGTACACAGTAAGGAAAATATTCTATCAGAATATAAGCTCCTTGAGGGCAGAGATCTCCAGTTGCCTACAAAAGTGTCCGAGACATAGATGTCTAGTAAATGTCTTTGAATAGATGAATGAGTGAATGAACAAAAACAGCAGAGAAAAATATCCAACATGACATTTTGATATTCATCTAGGAATAGGCAACTTTTTCAGAAGTAGCACCTCCATCTTTTGGCCTTTTAGGCTTTAAACCTATACAGAACATCAACAATTATAGAAAAATGAAGTTACGTCCTAGGAAACGACATTAACAAACATTTGTGTAGTACTTTATACTTTACATACATGAAGTGCTTTTCACGTATATAATCTAATTTAATCCTTGTGAGAAAGGCATCATCCTTATACACTGTAAAATTAATTAAGAATTTACTCTGGTAATGAATAAAAACAATACAGAATTCAGTCTTCTACTTCAGGTAATAATACATTCACACAGATCAGATTTAACCCCCCAGTATAAATAACTGAAAAACATATGAGAAAAAATATTTAAAAATAGTTTTCAGACATTGGACAACAGGGAGCTTAGGACAGTGAAGCTCAGGACAGTGATCTTTAAGAAAAGGGAAACAAATAAGGCAAGTCCTACATTTGTTCTGGCTTAATGCCTGGAGAGAGTTTCCAGGAGGAAGCAAAGGAAAGAGAAACCCAAAAAGAGCTTGGTGATCTCCCTGAGTCGAGGAGACAAAGTTAAAAAAATCTGAGGAGGTCAAGGAGGCTAGAATTCACAGGAAGAGTACCAGAGAGGAAAAGAACTGTACGAGAGAGAGTACTCAGAGATGTATAGGGGGCTCCACCTCAAGTCTTTATCTGAGTACTGATCAGAGCACTGTGTGAGGAAACTACTTGAGGCTCCAGAAAGGAGCAGACAAAACAATTCTTGGAACACACACAGGGCTGGAATAGTTTATGTTCCAACTGCCAGACTGGAGAAACTTTGTAATACAAGGACCATTAGGCTGAATAATCAGAACGGTATTGCCTTAATAACTGCTAAATTAGTCCTAGACCAAAGTTGGCTCTGGTCTTCCTAACAAAAGTTTAAAAGCAAGTCTAGAAAGGATCAAACCATTCCCTAGAAACTTAACTCCATTCCAATCTCAAAAAATATGGAAAGGGATACAAAAATATCCAGCACCCAACAATACAAAATTCAAAAGTCTTCCATCCAATCAAAAATTTCCAGGAATATAAACAAGAAAATGCAACTTATAATGAGGATAAAAATCAATCAATAGAAAAAAATCCAGAAATGAAACAGAAGAACCTGTAGACACGTACATTAAATTAGCTATTATAAGCTATTCCACTTTCAAGAAGGTAGAAAGCATTAATATGTTAAGGAGAAGCATGGAAGATATATAAAAGATCCCAAACAAATTTCTAGAGATGAAAACTACAATGTCTCAGGAGAAAAATACACCAGATAGGATTAGGAATGTATTACACAGTACAGAAAAAAATTAGTGAATGGAAGACATAATAATAGGCACTATCTCAAAGGAAACACAAAGAAAAAGATGAGGAAAACAAAGATCAGCAGTGAGCCGTGAGACAACTTCAAAAGGCCAAATATACAGTTAATCGCGGTTCCAGAAGAAGAGAAGATATAAAAAGTATTTGAAGAAATAATGGCTGCAAAATTTCTAAATTTAATAAAAACTATAAACCCAGAGACCTAAGAATCCAATGAAGCCCAAGCATAAAAAAAAGAAGAAAACTATGCTAAAGTAATAATAAAATTGCTTAAGAATGGTGATAAAGAGAAAATATGTAAAGCTGTTAGAGGAAAAAAAGACATTTTGTACAGAGGAACAAAGATAAGAATGACAGGTGACCTCTTGTCAGAAACAAGGCAATCCAGAAGACAGTGTTGTAACTCTTTCAGGAACTGAAAGAAAAACGTTGTCAACCTAGAATTCTGCACTTTACTATATCTTTCAAAAACAAAGAAAGACTTACAGACATACAACAATTGAAAGAATTCATCTGCATCAGGCTACAGTACAAGAAAAATTCAAGGAAGTGCTTTAGGCAGAAGAAGATACCAGATAGAGATCCTGACCCATGAAACAGAATGAAGAGCAATGGAAATGATAAGTATGTAGGTAAATATAAAATACCTTCTATTTCTTATTTAAAATTTTTTTTTTTTACTGTTGTAAAATAAATTTAAAAGATAATTGACTGTTTATAGCAAAAATAAAAAAGAACAATGTATTGTGGAATTTATAACATACGTAGGTGTAAAGTACATGACAACAATAGCACAAGGGCCAGGAGAGAGAAAATAAAAGTATACTGGTCTAAATTTCATACACTGTATATGAAGAAGTATAGTATTACTTGAAGGTAATATAATATTACTTGATATAAATGATAAGTTAAAGATGTATATAGTATAAACCCTAAAAAAAAAAAAAACACTAAAAACTACAAAGAGGTATAGCTAATAAATCAATAAAGGAGATAAAATGAAATCATAACATATAATTAATTAACCCAAAAGGCAGAAAAAGAGGAAAAGGGGAACAAAGAACAGATGTCACAAATAGAAAACATATAGTACAATGGTAGATTTAAACACAGCCATAACACTAATCACATTAAATATCAATGGTCTAAATACCCCAATTAAAAGGTGGATTGCCAGATTCAATAGAAAACAAGACTCAATTTAAGCAGTGTATCAGGTATTTACTTTGAATATAAAGACACAAATCGGTTAATACCAAAAGAATTGAAAAAGACATTCCAGGCTAACACTAATAAAAAAGGATGAAGTAGCTATATTAGTATCAAAGTAAATTTTAAGCAAGAATATTACTAGGAATAAAGAGGGTCATTTCATAATGATAAAGGGATTAATCTGTCAAAAGAACGTACAAATCTTAAATGTTTATGCACCTGATAAAAGAACTTCACAATAAGTGATGCAAAATATTACAGAACTGAAATGAGAAACAGACAAATTTACAAATACAGTTGGAGATTTCAACACTCCTCTCTTAATAACTGACAGAACAAGGAGACAGAAAATTAGTAAGGATACAGAAGATGTGAACACCACTATGGAACAACTTGACTTAATTGACATTTATAGGACACTCCACTCAGCAAGAGCAGGACAAACATTCTTAGCTGAAGGAACATTTACCAGGATAGACCATATTCTGACCCACAAAACAAGTCTCAGATTTAAAATGATTCAGATATTACAAGATGTTCTTTTACCATACTGGAATTAAATCAG